GCCCTGGACTAACCTCAGCGGATACCCCCTCCCTTCCAGAGTCAAGAAGGCAAAGGCCCTCAGGTCTCTGGCCACAGTGGCAAAGGCATGGAGGGGGGATGCATGAAGAAGCCCCTCCCATGGCCACAGACAGGGAGCAGAGGGCTGTCAGGATGGGCCTGACCGCACCGGGGAAGGGAACAGGCATAGGAGGAAGCTTGCACAGAAGGCAGGGGTTTGCCGTGGGGCCTTGGTAAGGGGTCAGGGGAGTCAGAGAGTGATGGGGAGCTTGCACCTTGCTCCCCTTGCCTCCGCGCTGTCCTGGTGGCAGCTGGGGTGGACCTGGGAGAGGAGGGAGGAGGACAGGGAGGGGACTGCCCAGCTGGAAGAGGCCTTGTCTAATTGTGCCTGATTAGTAGAGAGGAAGAGAACAGGGCGAGTGATTAATAGTCTCGGCAGTCACCAGCATGTGCAGAGGGAGGGCTGGGAGGGGGAGGGAAGTCAGAGCCCGGGGCGGGCGGTGGGGGGGGGGATGGAGACAGTGGAGTGCCCACAGGTCCTTGGTCACCTGCCCCTCCACGGAGAAGGACAGGTTTATACCCCTGTCTCCTCAAGGCTTCATTCCCCATGTCCCCTGCGCCTCGACTTTCCAGACAATAGAAGGGAGAAGACCAAGGTCATGTCCCGCACCCAGGAAGAAAGGTGTACTGCTGCTCACGCGGTGTTTCCAAATACCTCGATGTGCCCAGACACAGGCCCTATCCTCGGCTCAACCTGGGCCCTCAGCCCAGCGATTAGATGCCAGGATTCCAATCACTGCGCGCAGCTGTCGCCTTATATTCTTTGATACCAGTTGGAGTTCCTAGCCCCGCCCAGTCTGGCAGCCGGAGCCTCGTTCCTAGGACCAGGGCTGCCCTGTCCAATACGGCAGCCACCAGCCACATGCGGCTACTTGAAGGGAACATTCATTTTCTCTGTCACACTAATCACGTTTCAGGCGCTCAATAGCTGGGGTGGCTAGTGACTACCATGTGGGGCAGCGCAGAGACAGGACATTTCTGTCATCACAGGATGTCCTGTGGGGTAGCAGTGACCTCCAGTGCGTGCTCACGGTCCCGCACCTACGCACCTACGCACCTACACGTATGCACGTGAATATTTGGGAGGGTTGCTTAGCAGGGGAATGCTCTGAGAGGGGAGGGAGGGAGCGGGGGCTTAAGGGTCTGGAAAGGGGGAGGGCGAGGTGATGGAGAGCAGCGAAGGTGCCGGTGGACGGGTCAGAAAATGGCAGGTGGCACTGGGCACGGTCAGGCGAGAGAGAGCCAGGAGTTGGGGCGGTGGCATTCTGACAGCTGACACTTTGTGCGTGCCAGGTCCTGTGCTAAATAAGCTCTCGCTCTAATCCCCGCAACGACCCACATTTTTTAGGTTCTAATATTCTATTTAATGACTACAAAAGCTGACGCTTGTGGAAGCTCTTCTGACTCCTCCAAGGGCGCACAGCTTAGAGGGGAGAGCCAAGGTTCGAATCCACGTGGCCTGGCTCCAGAGCCCGCACACTTGACTGCCATCGCGTACCGTCCCCAGCTGAGAGGAGATGCTGGATGTTAGAGTCATCCTTGCATTTTACAGCTAAAGAAATGATGCCCGGGAAGGAAGAGTGATGTCTGCCTTCTAGTAAGCGGGCAGGCCGAGAGCGAGCCGCGGTGGGGAAAGTCTGGATGGGCCTCGGAGCGCTGGAGCAAGGGAGCAGATGGCGGGAGGAATCGGGGAGGAAAGGGCGAACATGAAGGTGGCAGTGACATGTGGAGGCAGAGGTGGGCTGGGCGTGGGTTGGTATGAGCGTGATGAAGTAGGGGAAAGGGAAAGAGGAGACGAGCTGGGGGGGGGGGCGCGGTAGGTGGAGGGGGGCCTGGGGCGAGAGGCGAGAGCATCCTCACCCAGGGGCCATCTCTTCTCCCTCCCCGTCCTCTCTCTCCTCTCTCTCCTCTCTCTCCAAACCTCCCCCGGCCCAGCCTGGCTCATTTCGTAAACCTCGATTTCCTTCAGCCCAGAGTGGTCTCCCCTCTGAAGTCGGGCTCTTACTCTCCATGTACCTAGTTTGGCCACTCATCCTGGCACCTCGTGACACTGTTTGGCTTGCACGGCTGGGTAACTCTCACATGGTTGGTTAAGCTTTGGAGTGGCTCCGTCCCCCTTCCACCACAAGACTAGAGGCTGCTTGAGGACAGGGACCGGGGACGAGGGCTTCCCTTCTTTGTTCTCGCCCACAGCAGCTGGCAGGGAGCCTGGGCAGTGCTGGGAACACCACGTTGATGGATGGAGTGAGGGAGTGGTTGGGAGTCAGCAAGGGGAGATCAGGGAACGTGGGGTGGTGGGGAGAGCGATCGCAGTAGTAACAGAAGCAAGAGCAGCAGCTTAGGGGACTGGGGGAGGGTGAATTACCCGGAATAAAAATAGGCTGGAAAATGTGACATTTATTAACTTGGATTCCGGAGGAAAGGTCACGGCAGAGTGGGGAGTGGAAAGGAGGAAGCGAGGGAAGCAACAGAAAACACACAACAGCCCCTTCCCCAAAGCCTGTCCCCGTCACTGAGCATCTCACCACTCGCGCCCCGGCAGGCTCTCCACCCACTGGCCGCTGTGTGCCCGTCTCCCCACCACAGCCCCCTGTCGTGGCTCCACGCTCTCACCACAGTGCGTAGTGGGCCTCACGTCCTCATCAGAGACCCCCTGTCTTCGACTCCACACACCTTATCCCATCGTGCTGAAACAGCGCACCCCATCTCCCCCATTGCCATAGATCATGGGCCCCCCTGCCAACCCCTAAGCCCAGACCCTGGGAATATGCAGCAGGCTCAGCCCTAGAATGTCAAGTCCAACGGAGAGTTACACTCAGCAGATAGGGGTGGGGTGCGGGCAGGAAGGTGTGGGGTCCAGGCTGGCTGGGGGGCAGGGGAGCAGGACCCAAAGGGAAATTCCTGCTCCTCAGTGGCTGCTTGTCCCCTCTGCCCCCTCACTGTCCTGTCATAGCCCCAGAGCTGAGACCCACGACTTGTATTACCCTCCACCCTCCAGCCCCAGGGCCTGGGCAGGACCCACCTTTATCCCCACTAGGGTGTCCCCAGGATTCAGAGAGACTCGCCAGCCTTGATCAGGGGACTCCCTCTTCCCACACCCCCTGGCACCGGCTCCTTTTCTGGTGGGGAAGCAGGAAACCCCTGCCTGCCTCACCTTGCTTCCTCGCCCCTCCGTCCCTTCCGCTCCTTCCCTCCCGCTGAGGTTTCACCCCTCTTCTCCTTCCTTTCCACCCCCCGCCAGGGCCTGGGACGCACACTCCCACTCAGGAGCACAAAGCCCCCATTGATTCCCGCCCCAGCAACACCTGCTCAGACTGGGCTCTGTCCCCCCAGCTCGGGGTGAGGATATGGTACAGAGGAGCCCCGAGGGCCTGAAAGTCCACATTCACACCCCACACCCCAGCTCTTTTGGGGGACTCTCCCAGCCTGGCTTTGGGAGAGGCAACTTCTACCTAGAAGAGGGGGTTTGTAGCTGGACAACAGGTCAGTGCCCCTGACTCTTCTCCCAGCACAGTCCTCTCCCTCGGTCCCTTCCTCCATGTCTGCCCCGCTCCTCCGTCCCTTTGACACCGGACCCCAGGACGCAGGCGCGGTGGGAGCCAGGCACTTGGTGGGAGCGTGTTTCCTGGTGAGACTGAGGCAGTGAGCGAGTGAGCGAGTGAGGACCCGGGTTGGTGGGGGGTGGCCGGGCCGTGAGGAGGGAAAGTCTCCCATCTCTTGCGCTGGCCCTGGAGGCTGCGCTGGAGTGGGCACCATGTTGACAACATGTGTGTGCATTTGCGTCTGGGCAGTGGTAACATGCGTGCAGACACACACGTTCTGGGAGTCAACTGGAGTGAGGGCAGTCATCTCAAGCGCCAGGAATAATAGATACCCCGTGACTGGGTGAGCGGGGCGCCGACAGACAGTGTACAAGACACACCCCCACACTCACACGCGTCGTGAGGGGTGGCGGCGGCAGCCCCCACCTGGGGAACAGGGGTTCAGATAGATGGGGGGGTTGCCATGAGAAGGCACGGCACCCCCAGCATGACCGTGTCCCTGGCAGCTAAGCAAGAGGTGGGATGTGAGCACAGAGATAAGTAGCTCCCCAGATGGGTGTGTGGGTGTGTAGGTGTGCACGTGAGTGTAGCGGCAGGGACACTGAGAGTGTGTGACACGGAGTGTGCAGGAAGCTGTGGCCCGGAGCCGTAGCGGGGGGTGTGTGTGCGCGCCCAGCAGCGGCGAGGGCGAGCCGAGCTCCGAGGAGTGAATGGAGTGAATGAGTGATTCTCGGTGTCAGAGCCAGGGCCGGGCAAGGGAGCAGCAGGAGCCAGGGGACGGAGGGAGGGACTGGAGAGTGGGAGAAGCCAGAGGGGCCGCATGAAAGAGGGATGTGTGAGGGAGCCTGTGAAGGGGGGGGGGTGTGGGAGACACAGACACAGAAGGGACACTGGTGCCCAGTGTACGCGAAGATCGCCTCTATCCAGCCTGCCGGCCGGGCCGGCTCCCCAGAAGGCAGTCTGAGTCCTTCCCCGGCTGGAGCCTCCCCCAGACACCCTCTCCCCATCACCCTCATTAGGTGAGGAGAAGAATGCAGAAGTCACAGAAGAAACGTGGGGTCAGTGGGTCCAGCCTTGGCGTGGTACACGCCTTCCCTGCCAGCTGACCAGCTGCGGGGCCCCTGGGCCCACTCCAGGCCCCCGGCCCCAGCCCCGGGCGCTGCAGCAGCAGCAGCAGCAGCAGAGCCAAGAAGAGGAGCAGCAGCAGCGCCAGGGTAAGCCTCTGAGTGTCCCCGGCTCCGTGGCTGTGGAGCCAGAGGGAAACACCAAGCTTGGGGGAGACGCGAGGCCAGCCTCTGGTGGCGGAAGGAAGGGAAACCCGGTTGAGGATGCCCCCGCGCGCCACCCCCCACCGGCCTCCGGCCACCCCAGGCCAGGCGGGCCAGCTGGCAGGACTCACCACGGAGAAGTTGCTGGCGGAGCAGTGATGCCCACTGAAGTTGCAGCTCTTGAGCATGTCGGCCAGCTGGTGGCCAGTGCGGTTGAGGATGTCTACCATGTCGGGCTCCGGGTAGCGCAAGCCAGCGGCACGGTGCCCATCCCGGTCTTTGGGGGGCAGCCCTGTCAGATTGGCCAGGTGGAAGATGTCAGCGTCGCTAAGTGCCGAATGCCGGAAGCGGTTGATGTTGCAGAGGGTGACAGCTGGGAAGCCCGCCACTGGGGCAGGGGCAGCGGGGTCCATTGCCACCAGGTGAGGCCAGGTTAGGTAGCCCCGGGCCAGGCCCGCCGCCTGGTACAGGAAGGCAGCCAGCGAGGTGAGTAGAGCCAGTGCCCACAGGGTTCTACGAAGTCCGTGGGGGCCTGGGCCACAGGCCCGGCCCAGCCCGTGCAGAGTGCTCGTGCTGGCAAAGGTGGCCAGGTCCCGGGGCGCTGCTGCCCCCCGCGCAGCCCCCAGGAGGCTCTGCTCATCCCCTGCCTCCTTCTCCTTGGGTTTCGCATCCTCCTCTGCAAATTTGATTTTGCACACAATCTCGATCGGCATCTGTCCCCGGCTGCTGGGACTGGACTGGCCAGAGCCTCCTTGCCCCTGTCCCTCCCTGGCCAGCAGCCCCTGGTGCCCTCCGGAGTGTCGGTGGTGGCAGCGGCTGCTCTTCTAAACTCAGGGCAAGCTGGAGGAGGATGGGGACAGGGTGGGGGCCTGGGGTGGGGGAGTCACTCCCACTCCGAGCAGCTCCGCAGCCCTGGTGCTGCCTCTGCCGCCGCTGCCTCTGCCGCCGCTTGTCTCTCTCCTCGATCGTCTCCTTGTGGCTTCCCTTATCAGCACCAGCACAGCTGTCAGCCCCTGCGTGTGTCCCTGCGAGCGAGCGAGTGAGCTGCTCCGCCACGCCGCGCAGCCCCAGCCACTCCGCTCAGCATGTGCTCCGGAGCCCACCCCGTGCTTAATAATTCAGGACATGTCAACAGCGTTTCACCGGCGGCACGGGCGGCAGGAGCCAGGCCAGGGGAGGGGGCGGCCCCCAGCCTAGGACGGGGATCCCTGGTCCCTGCCTGAGACCTAGCTGATCTGATCCCCGAAGTCTGGCTAGACCTTAACCACTCATGGGGTGCTCTGATGGCCCCACTCCCAGGCCACCCAGGGAAGAGGGCTGCACCCAGAGTCCTCAGCTCATCCTGCCACTTGTTCTGGACCACACCTCAGAAGGAGTCACAGCCAACTCCAGCTCCCAGCTGCCTGCCTCCCTGACTCCTGATGCCAGCACCCAGCCACCACCTGACCCCCATTGCCCCACTCACAGCGGCTTCCAGAAACTCCTTGGGAGAGCCACTTGTTTGAATGGGGGGCAGAGGAGGGCAGGATAGACAGACAAGGGAATAACAGGGAGGCCACCAAGATCCTTGGCTTCCTCGGGGCTTTACTCCTGACTTTTACACGTCCATACCCTGCCCCTTCTGGGCCACCGGCTGCCCCAACCCCCAGACTCATTCACTTGACTATCTGGGACAGAGGGCACCCGGGCTGAACTGCACATCTATGGCCACTTTGCCTTCTCAAATGTTTCCCAAATTTCTAGCCACAGCCAGGCTGGGGCAGGGGGTGGGGGGTGGGGAGATGCTGTTGAGTGAATGGGCCAGGGAGCAGGGAGGCCCAATGCGGGTATGGAAGGGATTGGACACGTGCAGGGCTTGCACGGCAGGGGGTGCAGCCCTAAAGGGGCAGCCCCAGGCGGGGTCCCCCGGCAGGGTGGGGCAGGGGAGGCCTGGGTGGTGGCTGTCCTTCAGGGGGGAAAGGCAGGCATGTGGGGCTGCTGTCACAGGCAGGACACCCCGTTGGCAGGACAGGGGGAGGGACCTGGGTGCCGCCGGGGTGGGGGTGGTCACAGTGAGCAGCTTGTGGGCTGGGGGTCCTCATGAAAGCGTGAGTCCCCATGGGGGAGGAAGCACTTGTCCCCTAGAGGAAATGGGGGGCTGATTAATCGGGGCACTAATGAGCAGCAGGGAGAGGAAGCTCAGGAGGGCGGGGGAGGCGGCTCCATCGATCTGAGCCGCGGAACCAGCAGCTGAAAAAAAAGTGAGAAGGGAATCGATCTGAGGGAAACTGCAGCTGCTGGGGATTAGAGCCCGAGGTCCACCCACTGCCCGGTGGCCACCCCTCCCCTGTGTCAGGCGGCAGGCCTGCCCTTCAGGTCGCAGCCCCTGCCTAGCCTTGGAGGACGGGAGGGACGGGGGGTGGGGGCGGCCGGCGGGCGGGGAGCCACTCCGGCCACCCTTGGCTGCAGGAGCAGGTCAGCCCCTTCAGTCACCACAGGTCACCCCAGCACAGGTGTCGCACGCCCCCTCCCTCCGGGCCATGTGCGGCCCCCTGCTGGGTTGTCCCTGACCTCATCCAAGTAGCTTCCTCGGGGCTCCCAACAGCTGGACTTCCCCACCAGCCAGCTTCTCCAAGCTGGGAAGATGAGACCCCTGGGGCCAGGGGCTGTACCTGGTGGGGTCCCTAACCGGGGAGCGGGGCTGGCACTGGAAGCAGCCGCTGAGTGGGCACCCTGCCCCCTGCTCAGGCAGCCCCTCCCGCGCGGCCCCTCCCCGCTGTGCTTCCCCTCTGGACCCTTCCCGCGCTTCCTCTCCCACCGCCGTGTCCTCCCTGCGCCGCTCTCTTCTTCCCCTTTCTCCTAGTATTGATTTTTCTTTACCGAGTTTTTTAAAAAGGTGATTTAATTGCTTTTTTTTAAGGTTATTTCAGTCCGGGGCTCAGCCAGAAAAGTGGGGAGCTGCCCCCCCCCAAGCTTTCTCCAGTGCCTGGGGCAGCCCTGGACCCCAGGCCCATCCCTAACTTGCCTCGCTGCCCATCGAGATCACAGGGTCACGCTCCCCCCACCCCACACTGGCCTCTGCCAAGAGCCCCAAGCACACCCTCTCTCCTCCTGAGAGCCCGGCAGGGAGCCTTCGACCTCTGGCGGGAGTGAAGTGGGGAGCTGACCTGGTGTGGGGGGAGGGCGGGCAGCTCCAGGCCTCGGGAAACGGAACAGCACGTGCCCCCCACCGTTGCCCCCCAGGCAGCTGTCTGCAGTTGTCCCCAGGTCCCCATCACTAGCCTCCCAGGTGCCCAGGAATCCCGGCTGTGTTTAGTGGGAGTCCCCCACAGCCTTTCGGCCCATCCTTTGGTCAACCCCCTCCCGCCCGGTGTCTCCTGCTTTCTTCCTGGCCCCCACACCCTCTTTCTCTCTGGCCCCCGGCCCTTCTCCCCTCCCTCTCCCCGCTTCCCTGCCTGCCTCCCTCTCTGCCCGGCTGCAGTTGGGTGATAATCTCCCTCATTTAGCCTCCTGGCTGCTTCCCCGGCTCATTGCCCAGCTGGTCCCTGGGGCCCGGCCCAGCTTCTTCCCCACCCCCACCCCCAGCCCAGCGCCCAAGCTCTCCCATCGCCTCCCTGCTCCCCCCACCCACTCCCAGGGGACCAGCTGCACCCTGCAGCGAGCACCAGGGCCAGTGTTGCCGGCCAGAACCTGCACTGGGTGTGACGGAAGTGGGAAGGGCTGTTGGGGACCCTAGTTGGGAGTGTGGGTGCCTGGTGCAGGGGGCCACAGGGGTGGGGGCAGGGCGTGACTGCAGGGTCAGGCTGTGCAGCCTCAGCCAGGCATCCTGTGTCCTCCAGTTGCCCCCATTCCCTGGACTTGTTCCCAGCCCAATCCTCCACCCTCCTACCCCCCAGGGGATGAACTAGGCTTCCTGACAGTGAGGACGGTGGATGGACTCAGAGGTGACATTAGAGTGGCATCCGTACAGGGCATGGGGTGCGGACAGAAGCATGAGGGGGGTGACAGGGAGAGCAGAAGCATTCTGACTCGGAGCACCCGGGAGGGGGCAAAAGGTTTCATTTGAGCACAGTGGCCCCAAGGTGAACCCGGAGACCCCCCCAGGATGCAGCTCGGGGTGCTCCAAGGGCACCTCCAGGCCCTTCTAGCTCAGGGCCCCTGGGGCTCTGCCTCTTCTCCTGGCACAGGGAGACCCTCGGGCTGAGCTGCATTTGCCCCTTCCCGCCACCTGTGGGCCCAACTCTTCCCCTGGGTGTCCCCAGTCACAAGTGACATGACCCCCAAACTCCTAGAAAGCGTTCTCCTAGGGAGAGTCCCCAGCCTCCTCCTGGTGCCACCCCCGACACTCGCACGCCTGTCCCAGACCCTGCTCCGGTGCGGACCGAGGGACGAGCCAGTGTGGGGCAGACGTGGGTGGGGAGGAGCAGGGGTGGGGGCGGAGGCCGGGACTGGGCCAGCCCTGGATGGCGAGCCAGCGGCGGTGACAAACGGGCTGTGTGCGGGGGCCGAGAGGCGGGGGGCGGACCGCGGCTGATTTATCTGGGTTATTTATGCTGCGGACGAGGCAGGAGAAGCGGTTAATGAGAGTCCCAGAGAAGGAAGGGGGGTGGGGAGGCCCGGACGTGATCTGAGGCAACTCAGGAGGGTTAGCGCCCCACCACCAGGCCCTGCCCCCACGGCCCACCAGCATTCTGCACCCCAGACCCCCCGTTCTAGGGCCGCCCCAGCCGTGACCCCCTCTCCTATGGCACCCCCTTTTTGGATGCCCACTGGGAGACAGTGGGTCACCGGGGACTGGAGGAGACCAGGTCCGAGACTGAGGGGGCCAGGAAAAGGGGAGCACAGGGGAAGGAGATGAAAAATCTTGGCTGGACAGAAACTGACCAAGTCTGTGGGGCCTGCAGGGGAGGGGTGGGGGAGAGGCCAGCGGAGCAGTGGGTGGGTAGCTGGCAACCTCGGAGTTGAGGCTGGAGAGAGGGCATTGGGGTGCAGATCTGGTGTCAGCCAGGAGCCGTCACGGGTCCTGAAAGGCAGAGGCAGGGTGGGGGGGGGGGGGGGGGTGCGGTGCTGGTCAGAGAGAAGAAAGAGCCGGGAAGGAGGGGGGAGAAGATCCAGAAGAGGAGGGGGAGAGGGCTTTGCAGCAGTGAAAGCTGCTGGGAACAGATAAGGCAGCACAGCAGCAGCAGGGATTAAGGCTCTGAGGGGTGGGGGCGGGGGCGAGGCGTGGGACCCGGAAGGGGGGTGGGGAGGTAGGCCGGAGAGCGCTGAGGGCAAGACATCAGGCCCGAGGAGATGAGTGGGGGAGAGGAGGGGCTGCCAAAGGCAAAGGGGCAGGATTTAATCGGGAGCCAAGAGGTGATCGCCTAGGAAAGAGGGAGGAGGGAAGGGACCTCGACTCATCTCTTCTGCGGGGCGGGGGGGGGGGGTCTTTTCCATCATTGGCGAGCCACACCCCCCCACCCATGCCAGGGGCAGCAGAGCTAAGCAGATGGGTGCATTGCTGAGGGTAGGGAACTGATAGATCATTGGGTGGGAGCAAGGGGCAGAGGCCAACGCTGGGAACCGCTGAGCTCCTGGCAGTAGGGGGAGGGCCCACAGCGCCTCCTTGAGGTGGCCAACGAAACCCAGGGTCAATGGGAAGAGAGTCCCCAGCCAGCCCGTCCTGGGATGGAGATCTCATCACGCCCAGGTGGCAATGACCAGCATTTCAGAGGGAGTTTGTTTGCGGGGAGGGGTATGGACATGGAGGGAGGCTTCTCCAGGCTCACGCCTTGAATTGAAAGCCCCCTTACCATCATCCCCAGCCTTCCTGTCCTC